TTTTTTTTTTTTTTTTTTTTTTAATCCAAAAATTTCAAATCTGGTGTAGCCAATTGTCATCATAGAACAAAGTCGAAGTCGTCATCGACGACATTCGCACTCGCACTAGCATTATCTTTCAGTTTTGGGCAATCAACTTTCCAATGCCCTTCCTTGCGACAATAGTTGCATGTGTTGTTTCTGGTCTTAGATCTCAAATTTCCTTTATTACTACCTGAACCATATTCCCTATCTCTGCCTCTTGCTATCAAAGCCTCAGAATGAGAATCATTCAAATTTCCAAATACTTTGTTCTTTAACTCTCTTGAATTCAAAGCGGCTTTTACATTCTCCATACAAATAGAATCTCTCCCATATAACAAAGTTTCGACAAAATTCGCATACGAAGGAGTTAAAGAACACAACAAAATCAAAGATTGATCCTCATCATCAATTTTATTATCCATACTTTTCAAATCCATAATAACCTTATTAAACTCATCAAGATGATTTTGAATAGGCGTACCTTCAGTCATACGGAGAGTGTACAAACGTTGCTTCAAATACAAACGATTGGTGAGGGATTTGGTCATATATCTACTCTCCAACTTAAGCCACAAACCAGCTGCAGTAGTTTCATTATCCACCTCACGAAGAACTTCATCAGATAGTGATAACATAATTGCACTATGTGCTCGATTCAAAGCGTCTTCTTTTTCTTCAGCAGACCAATCTTGTGGCAAGGCTTCCACACCCTGTAGCGCCTTAAGCAACGCTTGTTGAACTAGCACAGCTCGCATCTTAACCCGCCAAAGGCTAAAATCATTCCTCCCATTGAATTTTTCAATATCATATTTCACCGACATATTCGATGGTTTCATAGACATACTTGTACAAAGCCCCAAGTCGAAACCCAGAGCTCTGATACCACTTGTTGTGCGGAAGCTTCAAATATGAAACCAAAGCTAATACGGCAAAATATGACAAGACAAATAATCCAATGAAAGGCACAAGGATTTATACTGGTTCGGCGTAAGCCTACATCCAGTTCCGAGACGGCGAGGAAATTCCACTAATGTCAAAAGGAGATTACAAATAGAGTTTTAACTCTCAAACCCAATAGCCCACATACACCCAATAGCTCTCACTCTCACAAAGAACAAATGGAGAAGATGGAAACATATACCAAATTCCTTCTCTCCCAAAAGCCACAAAATGTAGCACAAATATCTTTGATTGAGTGATCACTAACAAAAGGGGATTACAAACAAATGGGAAGGAGCAGCACTGTTTCAATTGGGAGAGCCGAATGCTCTCTCCTCTGCTCTCCTTGCTTTCTGTATTCAGCTCAAAACATAAAATGAGCTCCACTCTTTCTACTCACCCTTCTTAGCTTTCTATCTCTTTCTCTTATTTTATTATTAGGCTGCAAAGGCAACCACCAAAACATAAAGGACCAAAACCCACGGGTGTAGAAGAGAAAGAAAACCTTTTCCCTTTTTTCTTCCCTAAAACAAGGTAAGGTGTTGTCCACCTTTTTCATATTTTAATAGCCGAAAGTTATATTGTCTTGTTGTCCACTTGGTCACAAATCCAACACCGGATAGTGTGATATTGATGAGTGATGTTCCTTCTTATCCCATATGCTTGGACAGCGACACTAGCAATCACGACCAGGGGTGCATAAGCTACATTAATGGAAATGTGATGCCCTTTCCCACTCATATTTCAGATCATGAATGTGTGCCACTGATGAGTGATGTTCCTTCTTCTCCGATATTCTTGGGCGGCAGGGAATATCCTTTAGATGGTGAAGCAGTGCGTGGAGACATTAAAGAATGGTTGACAACGCTTGAAGGTAAATTGCCCCAGGAGTGGCCTCAAATTGACGAATTCAGCCAACTGTTAGATGGGTTCAATTACTGGACAGACTGTTTGTGGATGAGCGATTCTGTGAATGATCAATAAAGGGACGTAGAGGTGACAGCAGCTGTCTAATTTCCATGGCGTGCATATAGAAGCACAGTTATGATCAGTATAGATTTTATTTCCGTTCTTAGTATATATGCTCTGATTTCTTTTAGTTCATTAGTTAATTAACAAATTTGGTATACGTGATTACCTGGGCCTTCTTCTCTGCTGTACTGATCCATTACTTGCCTTTCACTTTGCTGCACCTCAGGTCTACTGTGTTTCCCCCAGTCATGTGTATGTATGTGCTTCTAGGATTGTTTCCAATTTTAATGCACTGAATGCTTTATAATACATTTCTTTTGCACCCAAGTATCTTACTTTCTTTTTATTTTTATTGACAAAAGGTTTCAAGGTTGATGATTTCAATTACTATACTAAATTTGAAAATCAAATTAATGTTTTCTTTTCCTTTGAATTACTCCCTCTGCACTTGTGGCTTCTGAGCATGTGCATGTTCTGCGTATTGTGCTTGAATTTTGATGGAAACATTGTGTGTTAAGTTTTCTGTGTCAGTTTGTGAACGTGTTGATAGTTTTGTTGACGATAAGGACAATTATCAAGTTTCTTGCCACTGTTTTTATGGATTTTTTTGTGGAATGTAAGTTTTCTCTGTTTAATTTTTAGTATTCATACCTTAGTCTGTATTAGATATGTCACGTTCTGTTTTGGACCAGCAATGCAAGTTTCTCGCTGTTGTCCTTAGTTGTGTTTTTGGACTGTTTTGCTTTTACAGTTCTATTGATCTTGACATCTTGCCCATAACTGATTTTCTTTTTACAGTTCTTTATTTCTCTAACTCCGCCTGTGTAAGTTTATCTTACGCTGCCGGTCCCAAGCCCGGATAAAGGAGGAGGGGGAGGGCGTCAGGTAGTCAACAACCGGCACTTCGTTTTCACATCGATTCCCTATGAGTTCTTTAATTTCTCTGCTCAACAGGATGGTCGTGATTCTAAAAAAATGAAGCACTTTATTCTCTCTTTACAAATTGCATCTCTTTAAGTACGAGGTAGGATGCGGAGCTCACATGCTGTTTCCTGTGTACTTGCAGTTCTTTTGGTGTGGATTTCATGTGGGACTAGTTTTTGAAGCTACTGTCTCTTAGGTTTTCAGTTTCAGTAGCCGTTGATGTTTCTGATATTATGTATGTCGCATTTGAGAGAGCATGACAATCCTCATAGCCCATATTTGACTGTCATTTTGATCATTTGAAAGAAATGCCTTCAATTGCATTTCTGATGTGTCTGCTTTATTTTTATGTTTGTTATCGTTTGGCATGCATAGAGACACACTAAGATGAACAAGTAATATAAATTGTCTTAATATTCAAAATTTGCAAAGGGTCATCGATTTCCTGTTTTCCACGTCAGGTATTAAGAGAGTACACGATGATGGTGAACATGGCTTTGTCGAATTGAACAAGGCTTGGTCGTGATTTTAGATTGCAGAAAAGTCTGTCTTTGTCGAATTGAACAAGGCTTCCTTCTATGCTTTATACTCTTGTTTCTTATTCGACATTATTGACCTTCAAATTTATTTACAGTCAAGAAGTATATATTGCAAGGAGGGCCAATGCACCTACCTTTTTCTGTTCCTCCCTCCAATAGTATCTTATCTGCAGGTAAGGTATGCTTGCCTTTTCAAGCTTCAAATTGTGGCATATTTGTTGTTTCATGTTGTCTATGTATGCACTTTTCGGTATGAAGTGGTGAAGTGTATTAAAATTATCTCATTTTGAAGAGTTCTTCAAAGTGTTGATTGTGGTTTTGCAGTTTGTTAGGCGTCTGCCCTGCTGCACTGCAGCGTCAGATAGAGAGGTAGTGAGAGAAAACATGATGATGATCTTTGAGATTTGATTTGGAGGCCGGGTACAGATTCAAGGTCAGATTGGTTTCTGTCTGATTTTCCCAGCCCATCTTACAGAAGTAGTTGCTGGGGTTATAACTTTCAGTCATCTAATTCTGGTGTGATTTTGCATTTGGACATGCTTCTGAAGCTGAAGATTTGGAAGATCCAACTACTATTGATGAATCGCTTTTCTGGCCGTTTGAGCAGAAAACTGATTGGAATTCAGGAGCAAACTGGAATAACTTTTCCATGTCACCCTGGAAGGGCATAAGTATAACATGGGCCTTGCTGAGTTTGATGGACACAAGCGAGTTGATTCAGAATTCAACGAAGATGATTTCTTACTGCATACGTCTCCTTGTTAGTTCGATTGTAGAACGTTTCTCATTGCGTAGATGAATGAACCACAAAGTAAAAATCTGGACGCTTATAACAGTCTTGGTTGGTCTTTTAACAATCATATACAGTCGGTTTAAGGCAAAGCGTGGCCTGAAAGTATCAACTGACAATAGACCAATCTCATCCATCCAGTTATTTTCGCCCTTTCAGCAACTTCTGCACAGTCAACTTATTTGTAGGTTGTTTACATTTCACTGTAATCCCTATTGCTGCATTCTCTTTTCTTGTTTATTAGTTTTGCGAGAAATTTTCAGCTCAAAATCGTTTGAAGCCAGTCAACCAGTAAGCAGATACCATACTGTCTCCAATCCATATGTGCTTTTGGTTTGATGAATCCGTGTAGAAGCTATAGATTACGAGAACAACTCCTGATGGGATTTGGTTTAACGCACAGAAGCTATAGATTTGCTGTCCTGGTAAGAGTTGGATTGAGGCACAGCAGCCATGCTTGTTTTATCATTACGCGGGAGACTTGCTCACAATACTACGGTGTTAACAGATTGTCGTGTCAAAGTGTCTTCTATTGTGCTGTAGTGTGAATGTGAAAGCAGTTCTGGTTGTTGCAGATTTAGAGAGGAAAGGCACAAACCTATATTCGACATAGCGGAAAAGTTTAAGAATGCCTGGAAGATCAAATGTACTTCGACATAGAGGAAAGGCACAAAGATGCAAGGGTCAGATTGCATCCTGTAGTTCCATATGTGTTTGCTTTCAAAATAATCCATGGCGAAAATGATCCATGCAGGTTCAATTTTTTAGGGTAGCTCTGTGAACTAGAGGAATGACTCAAATCCATAATTCAAGTTTATTTATTAATTGTGGAGTTATTTTGACACATTATGGATTATCGGTTTAATGCAATTACGATTAAGAAAATTCATCACACATTAATCCACATTCGACAAATCATACAGATGAGTAATTACAGTACTGAAGATGTATGGCAGGAATACAAAAGGGAAATTTGAGCTATTCGCCCTTTTCTTCTTCTTTTTTTTTTTTTTTTTTTTTTTTTTTTTTGTTTTTTTATTTATAGTGCCATTAGCTTGTTGATTGTCAACATACCAAATGGTTCGGGAAGGCAAGGCAGGGTTTGAGCTAAGAGTTTTTGTGCCGTAAATAACATCGTAGGTCTGGACGCTGGACGCGTTCGTACACAGGCCAAGGCCATTGTCACTACAAGCACCACTGCCTTTGCAGATTCATTGGTTGGCGTTTCCAACCTTTGGTCTAACAAATCTTTCAGGAGCAATTCTACATTGTGCCTCCTTGATTTTGATGATTCTTGTAGCTGGGACTCTAGCATATCTCCTGGGTGCCTTCCCATCATGACTTCGAGCGCCACCACTCCAAAGCTATATACATCACATTTATCCGTGACTGGCATAGTGTATGCAAGCTCTGCACATCAATAAAAACAAAACTGGCTACCTTAAAACATATCCCAATAAGCAAAAAGATGAACCATAAATTTACAAATTAAGTTTACATTACCTGGTGCTATGTAGCCAAATGAACCAACGATATCTGTCCAGTTGGATGAATCTGTACTCAATAACCTGGCTATTCCGAAATCTGAGAGACGAACCTCGAAATCAGACTCAAGCAATACATTGTTGACGGTTATGTCACGGTGCACAATTGGTGGAGAGCAATCATGGTGCAAGTAAGAAAGTGCATGAGCAAGTCCTTGCACAATTTTGACTCTAGTTGCCCAAACGAGTTCATTAACACCTTCAACTCCATACAAAGCTTTTCCCAGGCTTCCTCTCTCTAAGTATTCATAAAGCAAGAATATGCAACCCCTCCTTGAATAGAAGCCATAGAGCCTTATGATGTTCCGGTGCCGGATGCTTGTCAAAGTTCGGATTTCATTCTGAAAGCTATGGAGATTGATTGTTGGAATATCATTAGAGTCTGACATGTTAAGCCTTTTAACTGCAACAACTTGGCCTGATTGCAACTCTGCCTTGTAAACCCTTCCGAACCCTCCTGCCCCAATGCAGTACTTCTCATGAAAGTCATCTACAGCCTTCACAACTTCCGCAAACGTAAACTTTACTTCCTCTTGCAATATCATTGACTCCAAACTCTCAAAGTTTTCAGAAGTGTTGACTTTGTTCAAAACGAGACTGGATTTTTTACGGAACATAAGACCAATGACAGTTGTAACCATTAATAAACCACAAACAGGCACAAGGATACCAATTAGAACTCTTCTGTTATCCTTTTTGAAATTTCTGTTGGGCCGAGGGGGTACGTTGGGCTGAGGGGGTATTCTGTCTACACACCCATGCAACCCAGAGTTTCCAACAAAAGCATTTTCTGGTGCCCATGCTAAATTGCATGGGATTCGGCCAGTGAAGTTGTTATAAGAAAAATTAAAATCACGAAGAAAAAACATGTTGACAAATGATGGGATTTGCCCCTATAAAAGGACAGTGAAAAGGCAAGAACTGAACCTGGAACCTGGAACTGGAGACAAAAGTCGAAAAAGGACAGTGATCCGATAATTTGCATATTGGAGAGGTCTATTTTGGAGACTGTTCTGGTTTTGGAGCAGGAAATGGCAGTCCAGTTGCAGAGGCTGTTAGGGTTGGTGAGGGACCATGAATTGAGTAGCCAAGGTCGCCATGATGATGGATAAGATGAAAAGCCGTCCTTCCATCTGACGAGCGATTCTGCTTGTTTTCTTGGCGATATTGATGTCGTTTTGATCAGTGGCAATGCGGACAGCAGCAGGAGCATATAAAGAAATGTCATGGTTTTGAATTGCAGTATGATCTGTTTTTTCGCCAGTTTGTATGCGTCACAAATAAATATGGGAGCTAGTAACAACTTTGGAGGTGCAGAGTTTCTAATCCTTTCTTAACGCTTGGAATTTCTGAAAGAATTTTTAGCTCAACCAAGAGCCGTATGGTGCCAGTGTTGACTGACCCGGTCGGTCTAGTCTTCCCGTCAAGCGTGGAGTTGACGCTTGGAATGTTTGAATAGTATTAGTCTTCAATATGACCACAATTGAAGACCATGTGAATGCTACAAGGAAATTGCAGCAACCGTGACTTTGTGTTTGCTTGCATGCAATTGTGCATGTTTTATTTTCTATGCATTAAATGGCAAATGGAGAAAAAGTTGTACTCTGTAGGCTAGGGATAGAAAGGGGTGCATGCTAGGTAGGCTAGGTGTTGATTATGTTACGTGAACTTCAGACTTTTTGGTCTTCGAAAGTGGGAAGGTAAGCATCATAGAAGCATCCAAGGGGTAGAGTATCCGACTCTCCCTTGGGAAAGGTTGACCATGGGTTGAGAGAAAATCAAGGGAGCTAGAGTGAAAAGTATTTTAGTGAAAGAACTGAGGCTCTTGGAAAAATTATGCGAGTAGGTGTACAGGGGTTTGGGATTAGAATTGGATTATGTCGATTTAACACATGTGTAACTTGTACTGTTATTCTCATAGTAAAGAGCAATATCTCTCTGGGGACATAGACAGGTTTTTTCCGAACCTCGTAATTCTCTCGATGTCTTTATTTCTTGTATTTTAAATTATTCTACCGTGTGTTTGTATTTTGGTGAGGTTGTAGTCTGAATCTCATTTCCGCACTAACGAACGGGCCAAGACACAACCGATGACGCATATAATATCCAACATGGACGTCAAGCATGTGCGTTGAGGCATGTAAACGTATGTCACACACGAAGACGGGGTGCAGTCTCTCCTGTCGCAACTCCGAGATTTGATACTACGTACCCATGTTTCTTCAAGAAATGCCTCTACTGTGGCAACACAAAAGAAGGAATGTTGAAGGCCATGCGAGTGGACCTTTCTAATCCTTGCAAGTGCCTGTAGTAGTATATACTTTCTATTACTGCTCAAATTCATGGAAATAATTATGTTTGTACCTTGATTTACAATATTTTTGTCATCTAGACCTGAACTGAGAAAAATTAATAAAGTTGGACTACTTTATTAATTTTTCTTAAATTTTTTTATAAATTCAAGTATGAGACATGTTGTTGAGCTCTTAAGGAACGTTTGTTTGCCTTCTTTAAGTGGGACTGGAGACTAGATTAGGTGTTACTGTAGTCTCATGGTTGTTAGAGGAAGGGACTAACTTTAGTGGGATTAAACCTCACTCGCCTTGACTATGGGGCTCGCTAGATAGTCTTAGCAAGACCCCCCCCCCCCAACCACCACCGGATTGCTAAGACACTTCTTTTCTCTTGCGTTGTCCCACTCGACTCCTCGCTCTGCTCGACTCCTCATCCTGCTTGACAACCTTGTTGGACCATCCCAGGACCACCGTCACGTCCTCGTAAATCACAGCTTCCTCTCCCACTTTCTCTTCTTAGTTTTCTTCAGTTTTGTTTTGAAGATTCGTCAAATTATTAATGGGTTTTGATAGATTTTTGTTTTTGATCGATTTGTTTAATTGATTTCTCATATTTGATTGGTTTCTGGGTTTTGATTGCTACCCATTTGTTTTCAATTTATCTGCTATTTTTCCTTTTATGAATTGAAATACAAAGTTGTTCTATGTAAATTGTGATATGTTTTGTGATTAACTCATTAATTTCTGCTGGTATATGATCTTTTCCAGTTAATCAATACCTTTTACATTAAGGCTTATGGTAGTCTTACAAAAATCCAACGAATTGAGTGGAACTGTCGGTGAGGGTGAGGGTGAAACCAATGTTCAAGAAATCTTATACAAGGCTCGTTCATCTTCTAAACTGCAAATTTGGTTCTATTTACTATCAATTTGAGTCGATGAAAGTTTGATAATTCTCCAAGTTGCAAAAGCACCTGCAATTCGTGAAGAAGAAGAGGGCTATGCCCTTTTATTTTTCCATATATTCATTTTGATATTTTTAATAAAAAATAAATTAAAATATTATAATAATAATAATTTATTGTTAGTCTAGCTTCTTAGTCCAACGCTACACCAAACGCTTCATTAAGCCAGTCCAGTTTAGTCTAGTCTAAACTTCTTTAGGTGTAGATTTGAACTTAATAAAAGATTCAAAAGCGATTTTATTTTGTCTATTTATAGAGATGCAAACCTAAAGTTGTACAATAAATCTGAAATGTTTTTGGCTACCCAAGATTTGAATTATTATTATTAATAATAATATAAAACATCTATAAATGTCCTTAAGATTGGCTTTTCAATAACAATATCAAAGAGAACATGTTAATGTATCAACTTTATCAAACGTCTATCTCATTACTTTGTTTCCTTTTGCATAGAAAACTAATGTTATCATGATAAAAAAGTCAAGTTAAAAAAAATGGTGTTATCTATGTGTTTCGGTACTCAATAATGCCAGGTTGACAATTTTAAGCAGAAATTAGGTTCTCATTTCTCCTTTTGCTACTCTATTGATTAAAATTTTATTCCTTTTCAATTTTTGATCAAGATCCTTGGGTATTAATAACATCATTAATTATTTTAATAATAAAATATTTTTTATTTCTAAATATATTCATTTAGTGTTAAACATGTTACAATTAGTATATTTATATTTATGGCTAAATTTTTTATCATATATTTTTATTTTTAGTTTGTACCCATTTTTAATTTGCAAACCTTTTTAAATTTGTACCAATTTTCTTTTCAGTTTTAATTTGTACCCATATATTAATTTATTTTTTTGCCCATTTGTTTACCAGCATGTGACATTGTATAATTAATCAATGATTGAAAAATTACATATGGTATATTTATGTTTATGGCTAAACTTTGTATCATATATTTATATTTTTAGTTTGTACCCACTTTTAATATGCAACCTTTTTTTAAATTTGTAATATTTTATTTTTAGTTTTAATCTGTACCCATGTATTAAACTTTGTATTGTCGTCCTGTCGACTGTAGCACTGTGGAGAAATGGATTTCAAACAACAGTGCTGAGTCTGAAAACATGAACTGGTTTGTATTTTCTCTTAGCATCCAAAATTGTATTTTGTGGTTTTACACTTTTATTTAATGCATTTCTCTTTTGATACATTTATTGGCTTTCTGGTTGTTTCCATGGTAAGAATACCCCTTCATTATGTGCTTGTCATAATTAGAGTATTATGTTTTTCTTCTCCTTCTCTAACCTTTATTTTTCACTAATTTTCATGTGCTGATTTGATAACTTCCACTGCTTTTGGTATGCAAGAGAATTTAATTTGATAAATTGTGGGGAAATATTAACTTTTTTGGTAATAGGTTTTATGTGCAAGTTACGCGTGTGTGCATGGATTAGTGTGTCTAGCGTATGAAATCCTCTTAAATTTTTGCTTCAGACCATGTTTGGTAACTCGGATTGGATTAGGATGGAGGGTTAGATTGCTTTGGATCACGTTGGATAACATTAATGCAATGTTCTGTTTGGGTGCTACACAGGATACGGGGCTGTGAATAAACTAAAACATGCTCGTTTGAATTTAATTTTCATGGCCTAGTGTAGGGCATGGTGCTGCGTCACTGGTCCTGTAACGTCTGGAAGTATATTCATTAATTATGTTGAATTGAGTGGTGCAAAGTGAAAACATGATTAGTTTTAGTTTCAGATACTCCATTGAAAGTTAACTTTTATCAACACTTTTATGTGAGTTGGTGGAATTCTTGGTAATTCACGATTCATTTTGTATTGTTCTGTCCTAACCTTTTTTAATGATGCTCAGGATACTGGCCAATTCTAAGCCATGTCCAAAGTGCAAGCGGCCTATCGAAAAAAACCAAGGATGTATGCACATGACATGCACACCACCCTGCAAATTTGAATTTTGCTGGTATGCTTTCTGCTTCTGTTTCTTACTTCAATGGAAATTTATTATTGTTTGAAAAAAATATCTGAATACTTTTCTTTTGATTCTGTTCTAATATGGTTAAGTTTTACATGTGATGCTAAATGAATTATATGTACCGTGCAGGCTTTGCCTTGGTTCATGGGCGGAGCATGGTGAAAGGACGGGTGGTTTCTATGCACGTAACCGCTACGAGGCAGCTAAGCAAGAGGGAGCTGTAAGGATGATTTATACTTTTCTTTGTAGTAATTCTGTTTTATTTCCCCTTTTGGAAGAATAGCATTCTTTTTCTTCTATTACTTAGAGTTTGTATTATTGATTGTAGTATGATGAAGCTGAGAGAAGAAGAGAAATGGCAAAAAATTCTCTGGAGAAATACACTCATTATTATGAACGTTGGGCAAGCAATCAGCAGGTATTCACAATTTTCTTTTTCAAAATTCCGCTGTTTCTTGTGCTATACCATGAATTCATGCAAGAGATCTTCATCGTGCCAATTTTTAACAAATTCAGTTATGTTAGTAGCCTGGCTGTGTTTTTTGTCAGTGACCTTTTTCTCAATGATCAGAGAAGATATTGCTTCTCTTGACACTTATTTGATTACACTCTGGGTTTCTATTTCAATTTTCACCGAATTTGTTGCGGCAAACAGTAGTAGGTAGGTAGACACCTGTGCGTGACTTCAGTTTTGCAGGGACTGCATAGGAGGGTGGAAGCTTCCTTAAATTAGAATCAAGATTTTTCTGTGCATTATTCTTCCATCTTACGAATTTAATTGGCTATGCCTTAATGCTGCTTTAAAATGGATCTTTATGAAAGTCCCTCTCTCTTTCAATCATTGACTAATTTTTTTTCTTCCTTGGCAGTCGAGGCAAAAGGCTCTTGCGGATTTGAATCAAATGCGAACTGTGCATGTAAGTGTATGTGCTACATGCACACATACATATATACGAATAAAACATATATACATGATTTCATGTATTAGCGATTTTCATTCTTGGATGAAGTTCAAATGTGTTTAACAATATGAGCTTAGAGCTCATCTTCTACTCC